TCTTGATAGAAAAGTGATAGTAAACTTCAGGTGTTCTGAAGGTTTAACTGTTGGTGAGATAAAACAAGCCCTGGAAAATGATACTGGCCATTTTTTTAAAGATCATTTTAAAGACAAAAACAATCAAGAAAGCAGATTAATCGATATAGAAATGTGCAGGTTTGTATCCAAGCTAAAAGTTACCACTTCAATACTTTTATACATATTGGGTTTTTAATAAGATCAGAAGGAGAAAAAAAAGTTGTTTGATTTTGCAACTATTCATATTTGTACACAGACTGCAGCGGGGTACGTCAGACCCCAAACAATGAAGTAAATCACAAACCATTTAACACAGTGGGGCTGGGTTTCTACAGCCTGCTCATTTGTAGGTCTCAAAAATAAAAACACACTCACAGAATTGCCCTGAATCAAAGAAAAAAAAACCTATTGAAAATGAAAGAGACAAGTACTTCAAAGCTCTTGAGAACAGTAAAAAAGTTTTCAGCTTCAGATTAAACAAACAGAAATGACAGTCCTACAGTTCAGTTTAGTACATGCAGTATGTACAGTCCAAAGTGGGACGAAGCAGCACAGTGAGACACACAACACTAGTTTGTGTCGACTCCTCTTAAAAATAAAACACTTCCATCTTTGCCTTTGACAGAAAGTTTTGTCACAAATTCTCAGGTTTCGCTTCACTTTTTAATGTTCGAAGTTCTCCGACAGAAGATTGTTTTTGAGAGACGATTACTGCGACTGTTTTAAAAAAGAACCATATTGTTTTTTTTCCCTCCCCAGATGTTAAGATTACAATAATTTAGGTCTTATAATTCTATTCACATATTAACCTTTTGTAATAACCATCCATTTTTTTATTAAAAATCTAAACAAAAATGTAGCCACTTACCTAAATTGATATGACAGAGGAAGAAAACCTACATGTGTTTTAACATGAAAATCAGGCGATTTCGGTGCCAATTCACACTTGTTTTTTTAAAACTGAAAAACACCCACAATGAATGAGAATATACTGTAGCACGCACATATAAAACTGTCTTTTTACCTCCTAATGAGAAGTACAGGTGAAGTGGCACTATATGAAAAAGCTCGGATAATATAAGTGACAAACACCAATCGTTCAGGGGTTCAAAACAGATAGTAACTTCTCGTTTGAGATAATCCAGACGATCAGGAGCCCTGAGCCCGCTACTGATTGGTCCCGTGGAGCAAGGTATGAATCCAACATTTCATGCAGTAACATCAACGGTTTAGCACAGCCCCAAAACACAAACAGAAAAACATAAACAATGAAATGGACATCATCTAATGTCTTCCTACGCTGACAAACAGGTACAGAGCTGCACCTCTCATAACCGGGGCTGTACCTTCAAACACATTACTGTATTATTGTTATTTTCTAAGGCACAAATGCATTTCTTATTTTCTCCACCTCTTCAGAGAATATTGAACTTTGAACTTTGTTGCCTCAGTAATTTCTCCCCTAAAAAGATACAATTAATCGACCAGCTGCGAAACAAAAACTCTGAAATTAAGCTGAAACCTCACATACAAAAGTAACAGAGTGCTGCTCTTCATTCAAGTCAGTTCTTTCTTCACTTTAACTGTGAGAAGGCTCAAACTAACTGAACATTTTAACCATTAAACGATGAGATGACGTGGAGGGGAAAATCAAGAATAACCCCTTCATCGTCACTGTAACCGTCTGTGAGACGCTCGTCTACGTGTAGGGTGATGGAGTGAGACGTCTACTGCTTCGGGGTGCCGCCGTCTCCGGCGTTCTTGGTTTCCTTGCGGTCTACTTCTAGGTTGTCGTCTCCCAGCGACCCCTCTTCTCCCCCCTGGAACATGTCGTGGGTCCACTTCGGGCTGCTGCCTCCCTTCCGGTAGACGAAGCGTCCCCGGCGAGCTGGGAAGGCGCCCCGGCCTCTTCCGCGGTTGTCTACCCAGGTTTTCTCTCCGTCGCGATCGTCATGCTGGAAGAGGAAGGGGAGTCTTTTACACTGCCGGAACTCAACTCTGGACTGATTTCTTGATATTTATTTACACATTTTAAGCTTTTGCTTTTGTTTTGAAGTGTTTCCATTAGAGCTGCCTCCTAACAGTCGACTGAACACTGAGAAGAGTCTCACACCTGCTTCACATCGCCTACCTGAGCAGTGTGTGACAGCTGGCTCTCTGAACTGCTTCAGCCCTATCTTTCTCTACTGAGTTTGCCTTTCAGTTTAATAAAAGTCCTGTTAACATGTGAACAGATTCTGTTCTGTCAGAATCACGAGAGAGCTTTTAATCTCAAACAGATACAGGAGGTGTTTTTCATGTCTGTGACACATTCTACAGATATAGACATTGAATCTCCAGTGAAAGCTGTTTATGTTGCTGGTATAATGTCGATATGACGATGAACAGACTCCTTTTCACTCTCTATTTTTGCTGGAAACCTCCACTCTAGTCCAGCCTTTATTTCCCCGGTATATATTGGTGCTCGGTGGCAGACAGCATTACATAATGAAAGCCAGGCTTATAAGGTACCAATCCAAACATGGATTACACTGTGCAATCAACACTTACTTCATAATGATGAGTTAAAGCCAAAACGTTGTTTCCACGTGTTTAACCTGAGGACTACTTTGGCTTTTGACTGGACTACGCTCTAATTATTAAATTTAATATACAAATTAAGGTCAAATCAAAGCAGGAGTATTTGTAGGGACAAAAACATTTAGTTAAGCCTATAAAAACTGAGCAACATTTTGATTGAAATGACCCCACCCACTTTACATCAGTGAGAAACGCACAAAGAAAACAGCACAAACAGGAATAATAATGTAAAATAAACAAACCTTTGGCAGAAAATTATGTTGAGTAGGTTGACGATCCTTTTTCACAGCAGACATTTTGACATGTCACAGTAGGAAAAGCACAGATGTTACTCATTAACAATGGCTCTGTTATATTAAAGTATCCCTGTAAGTTAAGACAGTGAGCCAGCATGCACAATACCAGGTCCCTGAAACTGAAGCAGATAAATAAAATTCAGCCATCATTTATTCTGTTATTATTTTATGTCTACTGTGACACGTCAAAATGTCTTCAGTGAGCAAGAGAGATGTTCTGGAACGTCTCTGTGTGCCACTAAATCAATGAGTAGAGACTTACCAGGTAATACTTCCTGCTCTTGGGAGTGTATTCAGGGTCCCACTCCTCCTCTGGGGGGCGCACTGGAGGATTCATATTGGCAGGGTTTCCATTGCTGTTGTTGCCTGGATAATTTCCCCTGTTCCAACCTCTCCCTCTCACTCTGGGGAACTAAAAAAAACAAACAGGTTGGATTTAAACTCGCAGTCAAGGGACAGACGTGTTTTCACAATAAGATGGGAGAATATTTTATAAACTTGGTTAAAAAATCGACCCAGGTACGATGAGAACGACAGAAACACACAAATAAAAAGCCACAGTGATGGAAATTAAGCATTTTGTTTAGTGATGAGGTGAAGTTCCACTGATTTGCGCTACATTACCTTAATAAAAATCAGGTAGTGCATGGAATATGTATGATAGAGTGTCATCATCATTATCATCACCATCCACATTATGTTCCTTAGTATTAGGAGGAAGGAACAGAGCAGAGAAGCGTAGTCTACTGTGATGCCATTAGGACAGAGAATTGCAAGAAGATGAGATGTCAGTACCTCAGTGGGGGAAAAAAAAAAAAACACAGCAGCAGAGATGAACAAAGAACAGACGGGAACTTACAAATCCACGGCCCCGGCCCCTCTCTGCGTTGTGGCCCTCGTAATCTCGAGGGGCTCTGTCTGCGGGCCCACTGTAGTCCCGTGGAGGATAACGTGAGTGACTGTAGCCCTCCTCCGAGTGCTCCATCCCCTCTCCCATGTACTCTTTACCTTTGAAAGGTGGAGGATACGGGGATGGAGAGGAGGAAGAGGAAGAGGAGGACGGAGAGCGATCCCGCTTCTTTTTGCCCTTCCTATGAGCACACAACATAAAAAAAGGCTGGAGGTGAGTGGCATTAACACGTGAATGAGTTTTACAGTCAAAGTGGTTTGAATGTGAAGGCTGTGGTTTGTAGAGTGGTTACAATGGTTACAGGAGACATGACTGATGTGTTCACCTCCTTCACAAAAACAAAAAATATTTAAATAAGATTAACTGTCTCAGCTGACTCAGTCTCCGCAAAGTCCTTGGTACAGTTTCATTTTGGAAGTACTAATGTTTCTGACCTTTACTTGCCTTACCATTATATGTTTGAGCCACGCCATGGTGTACCAACCTGCAGGCGTTTCGATTAACGAGGTTATTTCACTCCTCAATCAGTGTTAATCTACTTTAATCTATTCCTGATACACTCTCCATCAGTCATATTGTAGCTAATTAGGCTCATTTTAATCTGCTGTTTCCATCCTGTTCCCTATTTCCACCATACAAACACAACAACGCTTTCATTTTGAAGGTGTACAGGAAATGCAGTGTATTTCTAATTAATCAAATGTTCTTCTAACAAACAACTGAACCATATAATGCGATAAGCCAACTACTGTATATTCTAAAAGGCACCCGATTCCTTGCCGTGGTGGGGTGTTTAAATGATGTTTAAAGAAGAGGTGATGATGTTTGTGTCCCCGCTAACGACAGTAACCACTCCTTCCTACATGCAGACTGTGTCAACCTATAGTGGAGACTGAACGTACTTGGATTTCTTGTGGTGTTTCCCAGATTTCTCAGAGGACCTCTCTCTGCTCGGTCCTCGGGAGCCACCAGGGCTCCTTCCCCCTTCACGCTTGTAGTCCTTCCCAGCAAACCTCTTACGCCTTTCAATATCCAGGCGAAGGTCCATCACGTCGCCTTTGAACTTTTGACTTGGATCCTGCGGAGATATGTTGTTCGTCAGCCACTACAGAAGTTGTTTGCAAACACTGACTGGCAATTTTTGAATGAAGCAATCAAGCCCACATACTCCCCCAGATTGAAAAATGCTATACTGGTGAAAACATACACATCTGCACTGTGCACAACATAACATAAGCATTGTGAACATTACATTAAACACTATGTGTAGTACATAAAGAATACAAAATGCTTATTTCTTATAAAATGACTTTTCACAATTCAATGTAACAGTATTTGTGGAAACCAGCAGCATGCATGTAGCTCATTAAAATAAATATAATTTCACACTTTTTTTTGTGGCTTGATTTTTTCTTTTTAGGAAAAATACTTACAAGGTAAAGGCACTGATAAGCGTCCCTTGACAGGCTTGGACTCAGGATCTTAATTCACTTCCTTTTAGCCTTTGCTTGGGTTCGTACATACCCAATCAATAACCATATCTCATACGCTGGGGGGCTTGCTTGGCACTTACAAAACACAATTGGGCTCTTTTGATTTAGAAATATGCATCCTTTGAAAGAAAAGCACAAAGCTGAACACTGCTGCTTTGGATTGTCTCAAATTTGCTTGTTTCAAAATACTTCAAATTTCAAAAGGGCTGGTCACCTTGTAGCTCGTCTCCTCCATATCCTCAAACAGGTGAGAGTGCCTCTTAAAGGCACTGGGGGAAACATCGATTCTCCTAAGAGAGAGGAAAGAGCTCTAATGTCAGTAGGCGGTGATTGGGAAAAGACTGCGTGACGGACATGTTGAATAAATGACTTCTGATCAGCTAGTTAGACGTTGGAGATACCTGTGGATTTCTGGGCTCTTCCTTGGCTTCATCATTTCTACCTCTGCAGCTTTTCTTTGGTACATGGCAAACCGCTCACTCAAAGTCATGTCTGCGGATTTGAAGTGTTGAGCTGCGAATTAAAGGGAGAAAAACTATTATTCCACGTACAGCAGCCACCATCTGTGGTAACTAAACATATTCAAGTAATGAATAAGTGTCCGGCAGGTCTCGTCAACTGTCCAAACTCCACTTGTCTTGTTATCTTGAGAGGACAAACCCGGCACAGATCATACTCTACCTTTGATGTAGTGCACAATTGAGACTATGTGCTGAGCAAACAGCTCAGAGGGGCTGCGGCGGAGCTGTGCTGACTGAATGTGCTGGAAAATGGAACGAAACTCTGGATCTTTCTTATTGAGCAGATCTCGGGGCAGGAGGCGATCTTTAGACAGGGAAGAGCTGAGAGAACAGAAGAAGTGAGTTGATTAAAGAGGCGAGATAAGGCTTCAAAGCAACAAAATATATCTACCATATTGGGCCAAATATAGGACGAGGGGGTGGGCGAATATCACTGCGTATTCACGTCATTAGATATTCTACTTTTAACTGAGTTAGTAGATACCAACTGGGCCACCAGCTCCTATAAAAGCGTTTCCACCCACGTTTTATGGCCTAATTTCCACCAATGGTTTAATGGAAGCCCACAGCGCCACCAACTGTTTATCTCGATTTATCTCAACTCCAAATATTATAGATCTCAGTATACATATGTATTACTACCTGTTTATTTACATCCCAGAATATATTATATATTATTTATTTATTTATATATATATATTTATTTATTTTACTACCTGTTACTACTACTAGCTTTATATATTGATCCATCTGCATGTCTACAACCTGTTCTCATTATGTATATTTTAGCTGCAGCACTATTTTATGTCTCGGGTTCTTAAAAATAATACATTTTACTTGCGTGACTTTTTATACATATTTGTATGAGGGCATTGTTGGAGGGAGCCTAAGATTTAGGAGTTTTAATGCTAATGAGTGCTTCACTGTAACTGTTGTACATATAAAGAATAAATAAAGAACAGCAGGAGCGGATGGAAACACGCATTAATTCACATTTTCTTTTGCCAACTGTCTGGAAATATGGTTAAAAAGGTTTGGGCTCCTTTTGGATTAAAACTTTATTACAGAAAGTGGTTGCATTAGGTTTTTTTTTTATAGCCTTAGTGCTGCTCGACCAGCAAGATTTTAAAGTCTGTATATAGTGTGTCTGTTACAGTTAGTCCTAACAGATTTTAGTTATCCCAGCTTTACCAACAGGAGTTTTTCTAACATTATATGAATGAATATTACTACACATACCTGGGCAATTCATCTAAAGAACTGATTTTGAGGTCAAATTCCTCCCTTGTTGCAGACATGTGTCGTACAGGTGACTCCTCGCGAGGAGGGAAAGCTCCAGGGAACAGCGGCCGCTCCTTCTCTCTGGGGATTATGGGAGGGGACGGACTCCTTCTGGACTTCTCTTTCTTCTCCTTCTTCTTGGACTTCTCCTCTTTCTTGGAGCTGTGCTTGCGGCTTCGGTACAACTCCTCCTCCATGTGATCTAAGTGCTCTGGCTCTTCTCTCCGGCTCTTCTCTTTGACTGACGGGTAGGATGTCGAATAGCTTGGCTCATCCCCCCATTTACCGAAAATGTCCCGAGCTGTGAGGGTGGGTTTGACCTCTCCCTCCTCCTCAATGTCCCTCTCTTTCAGCCCGTGAGACTTGAGGAACTCCTCTTCTCCAGCATCAAAGAAAGGCATGGTCTTGTCTTCCTTGGAGTCGCTGTAAGATGTGGACGAGATGCTGAAAAGGTCTCCGGACTTGCTTCCTTTCTCTAGCTCTCTGTCTGTGGCGCTCTGCTCCTTATCGCGTCCATTCTCCTTTTCAGCAGCCTGCTTTTTGTTTTTATTCTCAGCCAAGAACCTGAAACAGAAGAACCAACCTGAGCTTTAGTAACTGCCGTGCTAGGTACATGACTAATATGCTTTATTGTAATAACACTTCAGACAGAGATGAGCAATGTAAGAAGAAAACTGTGACACAAGTACAACATATTCTCGCAAACTGAAAAAGAAAATGTAATACACATCAGGGATGGGCATGCATTCAAAAAAACTGTTTTTATAACGGCAGAAATCTGTTGAAAGGACGACCTGAAAAAAGTGTATCTGCAAAATGACCCCAAGTAGACGACCAAATGAAATATGAACTTCAAAAAAAAGAATCTAACAATGCTGAGAGAATAACTCAGATACTCTTACTGCTTCATAATATTACAAGCTGACAGCCAAAACCTTTTTATGTGTTAGTGCGTAAAAGAGAAATTATAAAAAAAAAAAAAAAAAGAGGCCTTAGAAATCTAAGACTCCAAAGACTTCCAACCGACTTGGACAAGCAAATTTATTTTAAAAAAGGCAACTTTTCAATGACAATGGAGTTTTCTTTGGAATAATATTTGGGACATTATTCTCAGTATTAATGTACCTGCTCATTAACATAGAAACTCAGTCTCTTCTATTCCCCCAGTCAAATTATTCTTAAGATTAAAAGCAAGACCTTTAAATCCCCACTGACTCCTGACTGCTCGCCAAAATGCCAGATACCGTACAACAGATAAACCTACAAGCTGCTCACAGACTTTTATCAGGAGCAGAACAACTTCTAATTTTAATTTCCAATCTTGATCATTTGTAAGAAAAGTAAAAACAGAAAGAAAGAAATGCCCATCCTTAATGCAAACAGTACAGACCAGGACTCACATTGCAGTAATCATACTCACGTAAACCCACCACCGTTTCATACAACTTCCTCTCAGTGCACAGTAAACAGCCGGCTACATTTTCAATGCACTTAAAATCAGGAGTCTTATGTTTTCCTTTTAAACCTGTATTCATCCAAGGATCTTTGAAACAAACGCTAAACATGTTTGAAAGAAAAATAACGTTCATAATTCGTTAGGGAAATTAAAAAGAAAAGAATGCAATTACATTCAAATGACTTAAAAAAAGTAACAGACGTACTTTTTGAAGGCGGCAGAGATCACAGTCTTATCTCCAGCTTTGAGGTCTTCCTTTGAGAAGAACCCAAAGCCGCTGAAGGAGGCGGTTTGTCCCGACTTTGTGGGGCTTTTTGGCGGAGGGGACACGCTGCCGATGGTTTTCCACAGAGGACCGCCGCTCGTGGGCCCTTTACCCTCGGGACTAGTGGAAACATCCTCTTTCTTACTGTCTGGGCTGGCTCGTTTGGGGCTGGCGTCATAGTCGATCCATTTCCCTCCGGATGCCTTCTCGATGGCGCTGCCGTCTGCTGCCTGACCCGATTTCTCTACTTGACTTTCTACTAGCTTTTCTTTACCGTCCTTGGAACCGGGCTTGCCTTTGCTGCCGCGGCGACGTGGCGAGGAGGACCGGGATCGCGAGGAGTAGCTGGAGCGCCGGGAGTGTCGGGATTTACCTGAAGAGGAGCGGTCAGAGAAGCGGGAGCGGCTTCGGCTGCCCGAACGCTTCTTGGGTGTGCGGGATCGTGAGCGACCCCTCCGGGGGCTGTGTGAGTGGTGGTCCTGGTCATGGTGGCGGTCGTGCCATCCTCCACCGCCACCCTGCCAATTGTTCTTATAGCCATAGCCGCCACCTCCTCCCCTGTTCTGGTAGTGGCCGCGCTGGTAGTAGCCTCGGTTTCTGCCGCGGTAGTGGAAGGGCCTCCGGTAGCCTCGGTTGTAGCCTCTGAACCCACCTCTGTTGTTCTGATAGTCCCTGGTTGGGTAGTTTCTGTAGGACGGAGAGTGAGAACGAGAGCGGGAGCGAGACCTAGAACTGGATGAGAAAGAAGACGGAAAAGATAGAAGAAGAAAATGTTATTGAGGGCAAAGCAAATGTGGATGAACTCAATGTTACAGGCAAAACAAACAATTCAGCTAGAAAAGAATCGGATTATTCTAAAAAAAACTATAATAAATAAACTGTTAGTTACAGCTGTATATTGTATTATACACCTACAACAAGAGACCATTTTAAAAGACAGAACTGATAATACTCATGTCTGACCAGCAGGTGGAGCCTAAAACTTCTTCTCACAGCAAGAGGTTGAGAGTTGGTGAGATTTTTGTGGACCCCTCCCGGTGTACACAATGGCCTCTGGTGGCCCCAAAACCATATTTTGAGTAGCTTTGCCAGAAACAGGGACCTACTTCTGCCCAGTATCAAGTCAACAGGGGGCAGTGTGAGCTTAGTGATGATGACTGGGAAGTATGAACACGGCCAGCCGACTGTGACAGGGGGCTGTGTGTTGTGTTCATTCACTCCGAGAGACATAAATGTAATTCTTTATAATATAATGTAGTTATATCAGAAGACATAAACACTGAATAATTTCAGCTTTCAACAGGCTGCAACAATGAGAACGAACAACTGTTGATGTGAGAGACTTTAATGTGAGACAAAATATATGATAACAGCAAATTATATCTGCAACACACTTATAAAAGACTACAAGTAATTTCCAACATGTTACAAAACAAAACCATCCTATTATATGATAACACATGTAAAGCAGCTTGTAAATTAAGTTATAGTTACACAAACACTGCACCTGTCCTGACCAAAGACATAAACATCAAGTTTGGAAGTACATGCCAACACAAAGTTGTAATTTATCTGCTTACCCCTCACACTTTTTCATTGTAACAGATCAGACTATGCTGCAGTGCAAATAAACTTCAGTGTACTCCCACAAGCAGGACAGCCGGTGTCGCCTTAATGTATGTGTTGGACGAAGGGTAGGACACAACCTGCTGTGATCCGCAGAGGGAGGAGGCAGTAGAGGGGGAGGGAGATACAGAAAGGCCAAGAGTACTCGCTCGCTATTCTATTTTTCTTTGACAATCATTGACGTGCAGTGAAGCAATACTCTTCAAGGGGAAAAAATCCACTTCATCGACTCACTGAAAGAGCTCAAACTTTGAGTTTCAAACTGAAATAAAGGACAGGACAACAAGGGAAGCTCGTTTAGATCATTTGAAACCTGAAATAAATAAAGCTCTATCGGGTGTTGACTTCCTAACATTGTAACACGGATCACAAATGAGGACATGAGATTCTTAACAAAAATGAAGCTGAGCTACTTTCCTTGAGGCATTTTCCCCAAACATTTATGCAAATCGAAGGCAAACCTAGAACGAGTGGAGCCCAGTAACAAAAACATTACGCAACCAACTCGCCTAACCTTTGAGTTTAACTAGAGTTCACTGAAAGAAACCCTGAGATATATCACACGATTAAATATCTGGTGACTCACTTTAATGCCGTCCACAATTAAATCCTGTGTAAAGTCTAACTCGACTGGATTTAAAAATACGCCTTCGTTTTGAGAAGTGACGTCTGCCCCGGCCTTCAGAGGAGTGCTGTTTCACTGTCGAGTAAACACACAACTGAAACATGAGCTGGACATTTCCTTGTTGTTTTGCACTGTCCTACAACAAAGCCAAGCAGATAATATCAGTTTACTCAGCTGATGTTTGTGTCAGCAGCTCTATATGAAGACAACAAAACCGGAAGAAAATATAATAGTCGTCAACGCAAGTGAAAGTCTCTGAATAGTTATTACCTTGGTCGTATTAAAAAGCTGTATTGGATTTGAATGTCTATTAACATTAATATCTCTCATTTGAATATTTTGCAAGGTGCATTTGCATTATGAGCCTCATAAATGATCTCAATAACTATTTAATTAATAATTAATCTAAAAAAGAAATAGTTTTGTTCTTCAGTTGCGTCTGGTTGGCTTAAAGTGAATGGTTAATAAATGTACCACGTATACTTTAATGTATATTGATGTTTATCAACTAATAAAGCATATTAATGAAAGAGTTAAGTGAATTTTAGGAACTGGTTTTAGGAACCAGTTCCTTGTAGCTGCTCTAAAATCACCGCACACAATTACCTTTCAAAACGTATTTGATAAAAAAGATCAAAGTTCACAAGTCAAACCTTTATATTAAAAAAAAGACAGACACTGGATTTACCTATAGCGACGTTTTCTGGATCTTGATCGGGAACGGCTTCTAGATGGGGATCTGGAGTAAGACCTGGATCTGGACCTTGATCTGGAGCGGGACCGAGCAGGAGAATCCGGAGCCTTTGACATCTTTGCACTTAAGCCAGTAGTGATATTCTCTTCCTTTAAGAAAAACAACAAGAAAACAAGTGAATTTTATTGATTACAAAACAAGAAAACATCCAATTTAATTCAAACAAATCCTCCATTTATCACGACTGCACAGCTACATGTTTCCAGAGCTGCTGACGGCTTACGTGACACCCTGTCGGCCGTCATCGAGACCGCTTCACCCAGCTGCTTTAAACCTGCCAGCAGCCCCGAAACGCCACATGACCTCGAACTGTCGTAGAAAAAAAATATCAAAACCAAAGCAGCGATAACGCACGGAGGGCCGGCGGGTTAACTTTAAAACTGGAGCAGACAGCAGGCATCGGGAGACAGGAGAGCTTCTGTGCAGCACGATATGAAGCAGAGGAGTGAAATCAGACAGAATTATAATAATAATTATAATAATAAACTAATTATAAGAGTGCAGCTATCCAAGGACGGGATACAACCAACAGCACAACATTCGGTTTGAAGCTACACAAGCAGCTCTGTGGGAAACTGTGTTGTTCTTTTCTGCCGATTGTGAGAAACCTGACTCATCAGTGTAAAACTCGAGATACCTTCACGGGGGCGGGTTGAGACACCGACAACGAACCGCAACATCCCCGGTTCTAATCTCGACCTTTCTCGCGTCTCTCTCATTTCCTATCGTCACTCTGCTACTGCTGCTTCAACAGATACAGAGACCTTTGCAGATACAGAGATATAAAAGGGGGATACATGTCACAGTGTATGCGACGCTCTGATTATAATGTTTTATAATCAGACTTTAAGGACAAAATGAGCATAAAAGGGACCCAACAAACATCCAACAGTAGATATCATCCACTGAGCAACTAGATCGCTGCTGCATTACATCATTCTGTAAATTATTTAGACGAACGCACTGCGAGGTAAACAAACGGCTTCGGTCGAGTGACTTTGACCCCTCGGGCGAAACTGGTGAATCAACACTGAATGAAAACGACAAGTTAAAGAGAACTTTAGACGACTTTATCTTTATTTATCTTCTCTACATTTATTTTATTTGATTCTGTTTTACTTGAACATTATTTTACTTTTATTCTAATTTAATCTAATAAATATTCTAAGAGTTTATTGTTTATTATTGTTTACTTTCTATATGTAGCTAAGAGTTTATTGTTTATCTTATACTGTATTTTTTTATACCTCTCTTATTTTCTATACAAGTGTTTTTTGTAAGCTGCTGGAAATCCAATAAAGAGAAGTCTAAGATAGAAACTTTATTTCCTCTATCTATACATTAGCGTCTAACACGAGAGGGAACATGAATATCACATTTACGAGACAGTTTTTTACAACTATCCCGACTAAAATTCAGCTGGATTTTTGCCTCTCTTGCTCCCTGTTCAGCTCAAATAAAACCTCAGACTGTTTCTTTCTCTTTATTCTTCAGCAGAAACGGAGATCAGACCACCGGAGTCTCTCTCAGAGCAGGCAGCGCTGCAAGGAGACTGCTTTTACTACTACAGGGAACTTCTTAGTGATGAAGAAGGCGGCGTCCCTCGTACCGATGACGTCAACCTGCTACTCCAGCCGTGAAGTCTGAATCTGAAGCACTTGCATTTTATTCAAGATTCCTCTTTGAGATCCTAATGAAATGCACCACGGAGGGTTTTTCACTGACTGCCTGTTTTTTTTCCGTCGTGTTTGAAGGAACAGTTGCTATGTGCCGAACAATGGTTGCTACGTGTTCTCACAGGGTTTCCCTCGTCTGTCCGAATCTAAAGCGGGACACTCGAGTGTTTTTGTGGACGATCCGCGGCACAAAAAGGCAAAAAAAGAAGCTCCAACTTACACATAATCAAGATAAGCGCTGCCTCTTTGCTTGCCACGGTCTCCCTGTTTGTTAGGTATGTAAAACACTTTATGTTGAGCTGGGGAAATACCTGTCCTCCCTGCTGAACATTTTAAAATGTAAGATTAACAGTTTGTACGTCCACAAAAAGCAGGTTTCACTGCGTTCGTTCAACCTGCTTCACAATTAGCTCTTGTAATGGTTTGTATTCACAGCATCGCCTCTGATTGTGTGGTGGAAAAGGCCGTGCAGACTTCACGTATGCCCTGAATGATAATGACAGGGAGCTGCGTCAGAGAGTTTGACTTTTTGACACGTTGTTTAAAAAAAAACCCAGCTCTCCCTCTGACATCAAAACCAAACAGGAAGTGAAACTTTACACGAATAATCTCAAGTTTTTTTTCCATTTCATCAGAGCACGCTGTGCCTGTTCAGCTTTACGCCCTGCGAGCTAATACTACCGACAGACAGTCACATGCAGTGAAATGTAAACACGCTTTATACTGTACAGACTGGCTCTAGTTGTAGTGGCCGGGCTGGTTTTGTGGGTTGATGTGAAACAGAGCAAAAACAAATAATTACACCAACTGTGGAGGGAAATATCCAGAAAGTGGTTTAGTTACGAGTTTAAGCCAAAAGGTAAATGAAGTCTTAGTGATACTGAGGTCCTGAAAGTGCATAAAATGTAGTATTACAATACTGATCCGTGTGGATTATAACCTGAGCTGCTGAAACACAGACAGCTGTTTAATGTCTAATCCCAATATCATTCTTCCACACTTGGATTAATACAAGTATATAATACAATACTTAATATCTATGTCTTCTAGCAACGCTGCTTAACGTCTCATATTTTCTGCTCTCATCATAGCTATTATTGCTGTTAATACACATATAAAATGTGGCTGTTTATGAAGTTAATAACCATCATTATGTGCAAACAGGCAGCATATAATAAGCACTGCAGACAGATAACGGTGTAACAGGCTAAAACAATGTCACAAATGTTGAGTTAGTTTCGCTTTACGTGCAGCAGCGAGGACACACAACACTGTAAGGGCCAATAAAAGTCCAATAAACCCGATCAAAGCTATTGATTAAGCTCCTGAGAGCACGGACGTGGACGGCAAACCCTCAATCTTTCCCCCCCCCCCATCAACTATCAGCTAAACTACACAAAAAAACCACCAATACGTTGTAATTACCTGTTCCTCGTTTTCACGCAGACAAGCACGAGGTTCCTTGTGTATATTTAGTTGTTGTGGATTAATGTCCGCAGAAGTGCAGCGACCTTTTGAGGGCCAAAGCTGGTCTGCTCGTCTGCTCGTCTGCTCCGTCCTTCCTGGTTTCTGCTGTGCGGGAGCGGATGTTAGCCACCTAGCGCCGTTAGCTCGCCGTTAGCAACGCGGTTAGCAACCGTTGCGGACGCGGAGGGTTTCGGGGGTGTTGGTTGGTCGCCGTGCCGCTCCCCATTAGGTGTGTGTCCGGAGACGCCCCTCGGTGTTTGTACTCGTCGCTGGGTGTGTGTTTGTCGGAGGCATTGAGGTTTTAACGGCGGCGAACGGTCGAGGGGGAAACTGTTAGCTCACGGTGCTACTTTCGATCGCTGCTCTCGAATTCGAAATCACGCGAGACTTTGCGAGATTTTGTCCCCGAGAGAAAAAAAGGGTCAAGTTTGTGTTTGTGTGTGTCTGTCTGTTTGTGTTGTGTGTTTGTGCGTGTGTGTCTGTCTGTCTGTCTGTTTGTGTTGTTTTGTGTGTGTTTGTGTGTGTTTGGTGTGTTGTCCTTGGCGTCTGTCTCGTTCTGTCTGTTGTGTTTGTGCTGTGTGTTGGTCTGTCTGTTTTGTTTGTGTTTGTTGTGTTTTGTTTGTGTTTGTTGTGTTTGTCGTCTGTCTGTCTGTCTGTTTGTGTTTGTTTGTTTGTGTTTGTTTGCTTGTTTGTTGTTTGTTTTGTGTGTTTGTTTGTGTTGTGTTTGGTTTGTTGTTTGTGTTTGTTTGTGTGTGTGTGTGTGTGTGTGTGTGTTGTCTGCTGCTGTCTGTCCTGTTTGTTTGTGTGTCTGTCTGTCTGTCTCTGTCTGTCTGTCTGTCTGTCTGTGTGTGTGTGTGTGTGTGTGTGTGTGTGTGTGTCTTGTGTGGTATTATATGTGTGTGTTTGTTTCTGTGTGTCTTTGCGTGTATGATGCTGCTGTGTGATAAGCTGTGTGTTTGTGTGTTTTTGTTTGTGTGTGTGTGGGTGTATATGGTGTGCTGTTGTGTTTGTTTGTGTGTGTGTGTGTGTGTGTGTGTTAAATTTAGTGGAGCTCATTATGTAGTGTTGTGTTTTTCTTCTTGTTGACCCCTGTGCTCAGGCCAAAATCTTGGATTAATGTCCCGGGGTAAAACAGCTGCTGGGAAACCTATGAACCATCCTGTTCTCTCTCTGTGTTTGAGTAAACACAAATAAGGCCCCTTTGGGACTTTTACAGCTATGCACCAAATTACACACAATATAAAAAATAGAATTTGGCCCTCTGCAAGAATGTTGTAAACTGTGTGCCTCCGCAAGGGTTTCAGGGGTGGATCTTACGCCCAGCTGGCATCTGTCAAATCTAACACACATTATTAAAAAATAACATGGTTTAAAAAAAAAAGAACCATTTTACATTTAAGTGATAGCCATAAGTTCAATGAAAAAAAGAGCATAGTGTTCCTAATGCCACCTTCAGATATTTGTATTCAACTGCTTCTACTAATCGCTGCCACAACAATCAAACCAGCATATATTTCTGGCCACCCGCTTAAAATCAAGGCAGCTTAGGGGCCCCCCTCTGTTTTTAAGGACTATTATCTATTATTATCTATTATAACAGCAAAATCTTATGTTCTATCATCCGTGGGACATTAAACCAGCAGCATAAAAGCAGTGTAAGTGCTCCTATAAGTCTGTTCTTTTGATAGTTCCTATTTTGTGTAAGATCTGTGTATGGCAGCACCGACTTCCTGTTACTAAAAAAATGCAAAATTTGTGTATTATTACCCGTTCTCTTCCCGTAATAAAATGTGACCCAGCCCTTAAAGGCCCCCTATCATGTCAGCTTGGTATTGTATTGTGTATATTTAGTGGCCATATTTTCATAGATGATAGATGATAGATCACGATAGATAGATAAATAGATAGATAGATAAGGATAGATGTAGATAGGATTAGATAGATAGATAGATAGATTAGAGGGAGTGATCCTGAGCCGCCTGCTTGTTCTTTGGTTAATTACATCATTGACACAATACCTTTCATGCTGCAGCTGTTTACAACTCCCTGAGCCTTTCCATTCCCAGCTTTAAGCAATCTTTTCTTTCTTTTGGTTCATTCTGTGGTGTAATGCTTCGCGCTCCCCCCCAAGAACCCAGCTGTCTCCTTAGTGTCATAGTGCCTGTTTGGAGTGGTGTGCACGTTTTTTATCAGACTAAAAGCCTCATAACGGCTCTATCACAGACGCACGATTCCACGCTGAACGCCCACTCAGGGCCTCTTTGCCTGCACAAACACAATACACTTGGTTTATCCAAAGTTAATGTTCTGTCTTCATCTTGCAGACAGTTGTTTTTCTATCAGAGATGTTAAAGTAGGTTGTAAATGAAAAACAAGATCTATCACAAGACTTCTTCATTAGGGTTGTAAGAATCTGCTGTCTGATCGGATTCCCGCTTCAGGAGATCGCCTCCTATGAGAATGAATTGTAATGTCACTGTCTACTCAGAGCTGAGATACAACTGATTGGGCAAAATGTGTCTGACTGTTGGGTTGAGGACACCTGTTGATCGCTTCAGGGAACTTTGAAATCCCACAGTGGTATGAGGGAAAACTGATCCTCAACAAACAGGCGTGCTGTCTCAGTCTTCCTTTATGATATTTAGTTTATTCTTTTTATGAGGAGTCTGACAACCAGTTTCCTCATGCTTTTTTAATCTCCCTCAAGCTCACTTAATATGTCAGTGTACAAAATGGTCAACCAAAGGCCAAGGATACATGTTAAAAGTATATAGTGCAAGTAAATAGCTATATAGTCCTGTAATATCACTGTCTTAAGGATACTGTGTATTTGTGAGGGCAGTAATTTAGTGTCAACGTCATAAGTTGTTTTGCATAACTGAAAATACAGCTAATTTTACATAAAATACAGCATAATATTTGATATATTATATATAATATTTGTAATTTTATTATTATGTTCTTTTTAATTTTTTTTTGAACTCCTCTGTTCATTGTTGGTCTTCCCTTCCAGATGACGCTTTTACAAAACATCCATCTGGAAAAAAGTGACAATTCCAACCCCCGAAG